GGTAAAGGGTGGCCGGCGCGTAAGGCTGACAACCTCACGGACATCTGTGAGCCGACTCTCTAGAGATTGTTGGAGTCTCGACTTCTTACAAACCTATGATTCTCCATGGCCTGTTACAGGGAGAGCTTTAACCTTTACGTATGCAACTGTATATAACAGAAATCTTTTGAGAAAACAGCAGCCGATATGCTCGTCAAGTAACCCATCGTCTTGCACAGCAAGTTCCACTTCCATGTTCTTAAGGGCCCACCACTGAGCAACATAAATCCAGTCTACGTATTCAAAATATTACAGCTCTTTACACCTCGTTAAGTATATAATCAGACTCGTTCAAGATGTTGCCGTGTGCATACCACTGCCAGCATATGTGACGTTGCATCTTACGTCATCAAGAATACAATCAAATGCATATTTATCTTTTGTAATGAAATTTCCGTTAGGCAATACTCAAGACGGTTCGAAATACGTGATTGTGGAGTGGTTCTCAAGTACCCATAGCCCCTGCTGTCCATGATGTCTCTTGAACTAACAGCACCCTAATGAACATTTTGAGCACTACTACAACAACGTCTGCTTCTGAACTCCGCTACTACATCTATATGAATCGCAGTTCCACCCTCAGAGTACCACAAATTTCGCGCATGGGGTCGCTGCAGAAGTACAGGACATGAATTTTGACCTCGCCTCTGACTACGAGTGAAGAGAAATAGAGGGGCAGTGAGCACCGCTGAATTATGGGAAGAATGGAGACTGACGCACTGTAAAAATGGACGACGACAAACGCGGCTACATCCAGGAGGACGGTGCTACTGCACACACAGCTCGTTTCCATGACACCACTCCGTGATATGTTCAGGGGCATTTTGCCACCACGGTGGCAAAAGAAATATTGTACTCTATTTCTGTGCGGGTCAAATACATTTCTTGTTTACAATGTTTCGAAAAAGAAGATGGCTGATGTCCACTATTGTTCAGCCTCTCTTCAGACTAGGCATTTGGAAGGTTTACGAACGCCTGGGTAGACTGGAACTGAGTGGGGCCCACAGGCCTCCGGTCTGTTATCATGTCAAAGTATTGATAATAATGTCAAAATAAAAATTCTGAAAGATACACTGTGCGCTGTTATGGAGATCCGTCTACAAGTAGACACAAAGAAAACACAATTGCGTTCATGCCGGACCGACACAGAGGGCAACAAAACAATGTTACATTTACAGCTTATAAACTTTGGAAACGTGGCAAAGTTCAGTTTTACGAAAATAAATTATTGACATTTCCGGAGTATCAATTGAATTATGCCGCGGGAAAGTAATTTTCCTCGGGAGCTGCGTCTGATCATTGAGAAATTCACTGTGGGCTCACAAGAAGGAGCCCTTACTTGTTGCTAAGTTGCTACAAATTATTCACACCGAATGAACATATTTTGTCCGATTACCAGAAAACACGAATGTTATGCTGCTTTGTATTCATTGTGGTAGGGAGTCCTTGTTGTGTTTTGTGTATTGTTTGAACGTGTTGTTACTTTTGGTAATTACTTGTCTGTTGCCCTTTGTTATACTACTGCCACCGGGTTAAAACCCAACTGCAGTAAAATAATAATAATAATAAATAATA